GGAGAGTCTCCAGACTGATTAGCGAGTGAAATCTTGAAATCTCGCGAGATCAGGATGGTCTCACGAGGCTAGGTCCTCTTAAACCTTTCTTTGCACCCAATGTTATTCAATTCCTAACAGTTTTTTCTTTTCCCTAACAGATCGTGAGGATCAGTCCATCCTTTGCACGTACGTTTCTTCAGTTCTTTGCATTCCTTTAGATTTTGCAGAACTGACAAGAATAACCTGGAAAGACATGGGTGTCAGCTGATGTTTGTGGTAATGAGTTAAGACTTGGAAAGCAGAAGATTATTTGGTTCAGTTATCGTTAGATTTGTCGGTGCACAAAGTTCCTATGAGGAGAAAATAATCAATTATGCTAATCAAAATTAATTTTTATGGTTTAATTTTAGACAGACGTGTCAGAGGCCTTATAATGCAGGTTTAAGCCATACCTTTCCTGATGCTGCACACTGCCAGTCAGCTTGTTGTAAGAATGGCAATAAACTCTCCTCTTGAAAGAAATTATTCAAATTCGCCTTAGATTATTTTTAGTTTGTATTTCTAAAGAATAAACGTATAATTGTGATACAATAGTAGCCATTCATAATTTCCCCCCTTTCTTGATGAAGGGTCCTTGGCTGGTCCCCTACAATTCCTTTTTAAACCTCAATCTTTGTACTAAAATATTCTGTCATGATTTGTGGACATTAAGATCTAAAGGGAAGCATCATCTCCTGGTCAGACCCTGTAATTCAGTGAAAGGGTGGAGTCAGAGTGGAAAAAAATGCACGCCCAGGAGGCGGCCAGTGGCTAGAAGTTAGTTAGAAGGGATTTTTACTGGGAGCTGCAGGGAAGTGGGCTGCCGTTCGGCTGGCGTTTAACTGGGAAGGGCCATTTTGAATGGCTGCTACTGTAAATTTTACCTTCTTTCATCGATATAAGCAGCAGGAACAATCTTGGCTTTAGATTCTGATTCATAGTTGCCAAATTTCTTTTAATAATCTGATACTGGCCCATTTATAACAGCCGTCTGTGGGATTCTAATCTGAACTTTCAAGCTGTAGGTTAATAAAAAAAAATTCACAAAAAAAACTTGATTTCTTGAGCTTTTGATTTAGTGTATTTAGTGTATCAAGTCCTAATTTTTAATTTCGTTTGTCCTGCTTGGTTTTTATTATAACATGTCATTAGACTCACAGTCTGACTTTTAAGTTACAGCTTCTGATGTTTCTGTGTTTTTTTGCATTTTGTTTTTTCTGCAGAGGCGAGTCAGGAGCTGGAAAAACGGAGAATACAAAGAAGGTCATTCAGTATCTCGCACATGTCGCTTCATCCTCCAAGTCCAAGAAAGAGCAGGTTGGTTTGAAAACCAAATGGGCTTCTATCCTTTTTTTTTTTTTTTTTTTTTCCTCTCCAGTGGGATAGGTAAAGGGAAGAGACACGCCCCTTTTCTGCAGCTCATCTGTTTCCTGATCGTTCCACAGTCTTGTCTTTGGTAGATTTCCATTTTAGTCCAGACCCCTGAAGGTATGCATCTTAGCAAGCTGCGAGGCGACGGTGGTGCATTCCTACCTCCTGCCCCGACACGCCTGCCTCTCCTCCGTCGCAACGGAGTTGAAGCAAAACTCACATCTTTGAACACGCACGTCTGTGCTGCTATTCTTGTATAGGATGTTTCACAAGACTTGACATGAAATATTTCATAAATCATTTTGTCACCAGTCATTGTTGGCCACCAGGTTTCCTGTTAAATTATGTAATATCTGACCTAGAATCTGTTTCTAATGTGTTAAATTTCCTTTCTTTCTGCAGGGCAGTGCTGTGTTGTCACATGTGAGTTCATCTCTTTGGCTTCATATGTGTCCATACTAACAAAGAGTCGGTTCTTCTTGCCTGGGTGTCTCCTAAACCTCATACAGCCACAAGCTTTCAGCTTAAAGACTGAGAAACTGCAGAGTTTGTGCAGAAAGGGAAGTATTAAGCATTCAGTTCCTTATAAGACGACTACCTACTATTGATACTTGTGACAGAAATACTGTAACCTTTCCTTAAAGTGCTTAAAAAGGGACCAAGCAAGCATTTTCTCTAAAGTATTATTAAATTAGCATCTAACATGCTAACAAGCCTGAGCGGTTGTCTATGTGTAAGGGTTGGTGCAGTTTGCTCAGCATTCAGCATGCTTGCCCATGAAACCACCAGTTTACCAGAAACTTTATCTGTGGCTGAACTAAAGCTTAGCTCAGGTTTCCTCACTCCACCCAGCAGCTGTTTTCATCCAGTCAGGCTTTGTTTTTTTTTCATGGTGTAGGTATTGTTGTTTGTGTCATGGTCTGGCCGGCGGTGGCGTGCACTCCGACGCTTGAGCCTGCATGGAAAGAACCCAGCGTCGCAGGGGTTTAAAGCCTGAGCGGGCTTGCTGCTCTGGGGGGAGTGTGCTGTATGCAGGAATGTGCAGCATCTGTATTTTGCCTGTGCTTGCGTGTGATTGGTTGGGCAATAACGGCGCCTAAGGTCTGTCTTTTTAGAGGGAAAAGAGATTATTTAACATCAAAAGGAAAGTTCTTTCCTAGTATTCATCTGCTAAGGAAGGATGTGCATGTCTGCTCGGTTTGACTGTCTGCAGCTTGAGTCGTGATGAAACGAGTGATTCTGTCTCTTCTCCATTAGGGGGAGCTTGAGAAGCAGCTGCTGCAGGCCAACCCCATCCTGGAGGCCTTTGGCAACGCCAAGACCATCAAGAACGACAACTCCTCCAGATTTGTAAGTGACTCCATTTCCTCCTCCAAATGCGTCCGAGA